TTGTGTTGTGTGGGGGGGGGGGGGGGGGGGGGATGCCTCATTTTTTAGTAGAATGCTATTCTTAACTTCCTCTGTGAGTATGTGAAAATAAGATTTCCCTCGAAGCCGTGATTTTTGCACATTGATGAGGGTTGTCAAATTATAACCTATTTGATTGTAGCCTTTTCATGATCTGCATAGAATGAAAAACTAGTTGTGGTTATGTGCCCATGCTTGGCTAGCTTGGACAAGAGACAACTTATCATATTCATGTTTTATTCACGTGTCATTACACTTTAAAAGTTTGCGCCTTTTTAAACTTTTCAGTATCTTCATTTTGCACACATTTATCTCTCTCTAACCAATGCTATACTGGTTCAATGCAGATGGTCACATTAGGTGATATGAAACCTGATCCTGTACTATGGCATGAGCAATCTAGCAAGAAACCTTGGGAAAATGGACGGTATACACCATGCTAATTAATACGACATAGTTAATGTCAATCTTAGTTATTTAGTTATACATAACTTGTATGCACCGTTGCAGGAACCGCCACCGTGGTGCAATGTCTGGTAGGAACCACCACCGTGATGCAATGTCTGGTAGGAACCACCACCGTGGTGCAATGTCTGGTCTTCAGCTTGGAGAAGCTGCACACAGATTGGTGGTTAATAGCTTGCAGAAGAAAGAAGATAGGGGTGGAAATGGTGATCACAGGCGTACACATAATGGCCAAGGACATGGTAATTATATGCACGCCCAACCAGCGTCCTATCATGCTGCATATGGTCCTCCCATTCCTTCCTTTGAAACCCCGAGAAACAATGTTCATGAAAACATACGGCCTAGTTTCGGCCATTCTGCTCGAGATGCTGGACATCACCCCAGATCTTCAGGTTCTGATGACCATAGTAGTAAGTCTCGCCCATTTCATGAGACCCGCAGTAGAGATTATCGTGGTCATGGACATCACACAGATGGAATGCAGCAAAATGGTGCACACAGTCATTCCTCGTATGCCAGTCATCCTCAGCACGTGGGCCAAATACCAGTTCCACCAACTACCAGTTTCCACCAGCAGAGTGGATATGACGCTTCTACGAGCTATGAACCTCGCGGGGCTGAAAGCTATAACCAACGGGGTGGTGGAAGGGCCTCTCAGAAACAAAATGGTAGAGGATATCATCATCCACATCCTTCAGGAAATCAGTTCTCAGCTTTTGGGAGGGGAGGAAATAGAAGGCCACCTTCAGGGCATCGTCGGTAGAGAGTCCTTTTAGCCTGGACTATTTAAGGCCAAGCTTAGTTGCTGGTACGCTGAATCCTGCGAACAATTTTCATACTTTTGGTAAGCAAGGAAGAAGATCAAAATAGCTGTTTCTGTCGATGATAATTATCTGCAGGCTGCTTTCTGGTGCTTATCATAACGGTTATTGTAGTGCTTTAGCTATATATCTTTTCCATGTTCTTTATTCTTAACACACAATGTCAGTGAGTTCCATTTGTTTGAGCAAGCACAATAAATTATTTGAAAGGTCAAACTTGGATGTATGAAGTTGAAATTTTGCATCTAGTAGACTGGTTTATCTGTATTCTGAGTGCTTTATTTGCTAAACATTTTGGTGTATTGCATTAATTGAAGAAAGGAGATCATCTTTGATATGCTTATCCTTGAGTCTGAGGGTTTCTCGAAAACAGTCTCTCTACCTCGCTAAGGTAGGGGTAATATCTATGTACATCTACCCTCTTAGAACTCCATTTATATGTTATTGTTTGTATTGGAAAAACTATTTGGAGAGGCCAAAAGAGAGAGTGAAGTCTCTATGAAGATGATGTGATATCTTTCTCATTCTTCAATGTACAACACGAGTCAAGTCGGACATAAGGATTCTTTTTAGGTACATTCCACGTATCTTTAGTTTAAGATCACAATATTCAGAAGTCTTCTTTATTGTATTAAACTTTATGCTAAGTCAAAATCAGCCAAACAAATTCAATTGAGAGAGTATTAGTATACATTATTATTAAGCTTAAAACATGTTGAAAGCCTATCCAAAAAAGTTCTATAATACAAATAATAAACTGGACACTGATGGAACATCAAAGTCGATATGTCCGAGTGGTTAAGGAGACAGACTTGAAATCTGTTGGGCTTCGCCCGCGCAGGTTCGAACCCTGCTGTCGACGTTTTATTTTCTTTTCCATATATTATAGCTAATGAGTTTCATCTTTTTCTTTAAATAGAAACAATGAATCGCCCGACTAGATAAGAGGGTATGGAGGGCAAGAATCAAGGTAGAAGGTTAGTAAGTACTCGAGTATTGTCTAGTTTTCCCTAATATTATCGTATTTTTGATTTTATTACCCGTTGTTTCCTTTACTTTAGTTACATCATGTTTGTTGTTGCTCCTGTACTTCTCTTTTCTTTTTTGCATGTTTTTTTATTACTGTATTTTCTTTTCATACTTGAGTTTTTATATATATGTTTTACATGACGAAATAAACAATCACTTTATACCTTCATAAAGAAACAACCTATCTACCTACAATGCTTACGGTATTACATTGAATTTGTTATTGTTGTATATAGTGCATAGTTTGATTACTAATTCTCTTCTAGGAATTTAATAATTTATATATAATTATAATAATAAAAAATTAAAAAAAATTGTTATATAATTTTTCGACAATTTAATTGAACCTACATATATCCATGGTTGTGAGTTGTGAGGAGTACTAGTAGGTAGGTATATAAATAGATTATCGTTGTATTTATCATTTCTCTATTATGATAAGGAATGTAGTAATAATATTAACATGCAGGTATGTTCATAAAATATTTAATTAAAGGAATGGATCGTTTCCTTTTGAGACAAAATATCCATAAGTGGTATTCAAAGTTTGAGAATTAAAACGCTTTTTAATAAAGATAACTTTATATTTATAATTCAAAACTTTTAATCAATTTTCTTTACCATTCTACCATAAAATTATTAGTATCCAATGCTTTTGCTAAAACCAAAGCTCATGAGGCTCCTCCTTCTTTTATGGACCTTTGCCTTTTTCACCATCTTTTCCAAAGTGTATGGCCACATGCATGCAAAAGGCACTTCAATTTTAAGTTGTTATTTCTTGGCCAATTGATAAATAAATAACATTTTATTTAGATATTTGAATTATGACTTGTTTCAATTAAGAATCTGATCGTAACTTCAAAATCCAATGAAGTATATGGATGTGATTCCGCCTTTAATCATAGGAGAACTGCGAAATTCATGAAAAATAGTATGACTTTTTTATTAATTTTTTTCGTAGCATAAATTTAAATTAATCAGAATAATAAATTTCAAAAAGATAAACAGTTATAAAATAAAAGTGTGTCTGAAATAGACATTAATGAAAAGGATTTGAGAAAAGCAAAAAAATCTACTAGTACATTAGGGACATTAGGCATATGCACATAACTTTTTGGAGCTTTTGTCATAGTACAAGTAATTATTAGGGGAGCAATCTAAAGATAGAATCTTCTCTTTTCTTTTTACTTCTTGTTTTTACTTTTAGGAGGGTTAAATAAATACTACTCCCTTTGATGTTTTAACATCTCCATTTCATATTATTTGACCTCTGTTGATTTGACACATTTCTTAAGAATGTTTAATTAAATGTGAATTTTACAAAATTAACTTTATTAATAATACTTTGGACTTTAAATTTGACTACTACTATTTCATGTTTGGAATTTTATGCCAAATGAAGCCCCAACCAATTTATGTTAAAGGTGATTAGCCTAATAAGCAAAGTTGGAAAATATTATAATACATGTTTGGAGAGAGTGATGCTAACATTTCTCCAAATAAGTTGTTCATAGTGGATAAGGTACCAAATGAAGTCTTTCTTGTCTCTCACTTTAAGAAGCTACAAACACAATGCCATCCTAGAGGTGTGTTTGGTATAAAGAAAAATATTTCTTAATAAATAATTAATTTTTTAAAATTTGATAAAGTAAATAAAAAATACTATCTCAAAAATATTCATCGACAAACACTATGAGGATAGATGTAGCTAGAGGGGGATGGGGTTGATGGTTGCAAGGGATGGGGGCGTTGAGATATTTTTTATAACCCCTCTCCCCAGGAGCTCTCGCATTTTTTCTTTCTTGGTTTCTTGGTGACCCGTTAACAACTTTAAGGTTGGAAGTGAGAGGTGCTTACCATCCAAGCAACTCCCTCCTGTCGAAAGATAATCTACTTGAAATATCATTTATAGAACTTATTTTTCTATTTTTCATTAGATAAGTCATTTTTCTGATTTTAAAAAATAATATTTATTTAGAAAAAATATTTTTTTGAAAGATTTAACCACCAAACACCCCTAATTATTTACGGTTATGATGTTTTTACCCACGCTATTACCATGGACCCTCACACAACTAATCTTCGCTCTCAAATAAAAATTCAAACCCCACTGAAGCTAATTAAAAATGATATCAAAGAATTAAATTAGATAAAAAAAATTTAAAACGCAATCCAATTTGGCCCCCTCTTTCTCTTCGCCGTCGATATCGCCACCGTTCGCCGGCGCCGGTAAAATTCTCAAACATCTCACAGTCTCTCCGTTAAGCTACACGCTCTGCTTCAGCGTTTATTAAATATCAATTTTGTAGTACAGATTTTTGTTCGAAGTGAATTGATTTTCGTTTTTAACTTTTACGTCAATTTCTTAGTTCGCCAGAATTCGTGAATTTCTAATCTGTGCAGAAAATTTGAGTATATGAAATGAGTGATGCAATGCAATGCAAGGCGATTTGCGGTGTCTGAGTTAGTAAATGCTTGTTTGAGTTTGCTTGACTGTGATTCAAGACTAAGTTGTTGCATACTGTGTTTTTGTAGTGTTTTTTAAGCTCAATCAATTGGGAGATTATTGGATGTTTGCTTTCATGTGTAATTTTGTTCTTTATTTTTAGGGCTCAATGTTTTTTCTTATCCTTTGGGGATGATAAGCTAGTGAGGGAATTGTTTAATCCTTGAATGGATTAAAATGCTTGTTAATGATGAAATAGAAACAAAAAACAATTTTATTGAATATTAGGATTGGAACGGATTGGACCGAAAATTAGAGCGGAATAGACATGGAGGATACATCTAGGCTATCGCCAACCCAAAAGGTTTTTGATTGAGGTGTTGTTATGGTTGTTGTTAGTTGTTACTTCATTGCTTCTAGCATAGAAAGACCTTAAAGTAATGGCGCTCTTGGCACTTCCTGTATGCCCTTTTCTTTGTAATGTTTAGTCTAAATTGATTTTTCCTTGTAAAATTCATTCCCGTGTGTTGACCTCTATATGCTATCAATATGAGAGTTTGCTTAACAAGCACTGGCTTTTTTCTTGTCACAGGGATTCAAGATGATTGGATCTTTTCTCACCAGAGGGCTTGTGTGAGTTTGAAAAATGTTGCATTCATAAATGTTTAAGCACTAGTAGTCCTAGTTTTTCTATTGCTCAACATCCCTAGTTGTGATTTTTCCTTTTCCTCGCGCAGGATGGTTTTTGGTTATGCTTATCCTGCTTATGAGTGCTTTAAGACTGTAGAAATGAACAAACCTGATATTCAGGAACTTCGGTTTTGGTGCCAGTATTGGTATATTGCAGCATTTACTCTGTCGATCTCTTAAGTATCTTCTCGTGAATCTTGGCTGTAACTTCCTCATTCCTTCTAATTTTCAGGATCTTAGTTGTTCTATTGACAGTTTGTGAAAGGGTTGGCGATGCTTTTGTTTCATGGTAATCATATGAAAATTTTGAATGTTCGTATAAACTAGTGTGAAATCCATCTAGTGTTAACACTTTAGTTATGCTTTGAAGGGTTCCAATGTACAGTGAAGCTAAGTTGGCATTCATCATATATTTGTGGTGCCCCAAAACTAAGGTATTCTGCGTATTATCATCTCCTGCGTGAAAGAAATTTTAATCTTTGATTAGTTCCGGTGGCATCTTTTGCTAATTGTTTCATTTTCTCATAAAATTATTGCAGGGAACAACATATGTATATGATTCCTTCTTTAGACCGGTAGTGTTAAAGCATGAAACCGAGATTGATCGTAATTTGTTGGAGTTGAGGACAAGAGCTGGAGATATGGCATGTCTGTACTGGCAGAACTCTGCTAGCTACGTACAGACGAGGTTTTTTGATATATTGCAATTTATTGCTTCTCAGTCAACTCCTCGCCCAACTCAGGTTTTCATCAAAGTGTTTCAGAATTAATCATGCTATTTCAATCATGTTCTGTCTTTGAGTCATGCTATTTACCAAAATCGTATTAGTTGCTTGTCATCTGAACTCTTATTTCATTAGCAGCACAAATTTGCTTGTCCAGTTATATAAATGGCTTTGCTATTTATTAACTCATATAGCTTTACTTGAGATCTCATTTTTCTAAATAGCACTTATGTGCTAGATGTACTTACAAGTTGTTCCATTTTTGGGGATTTGCAGAGTATATTGGGTTGTGTTCTAGTTCTTACAAGATTGTGGCTAATTAGTGTCATTAGGGACTAATTCGTACATTAGAGATTGGAATTGAAGAAATAGAATTACGGCTGAAATTTGCTTGCCTATGCTTATTGCATGCATTTTGTCGCCTATTATCACGACTTCCCAGTTACAATCTTCTCTCCATAATTGTGTTGCTGGAATTTAACTCCCGTGTTTTAGAGGGTCAATTATGAGCTTTTTTTCTTGAAATTGCAGCCACAGAAGCAAAGCAGTAGAGGCCGTCAACGCACAGTAACACCACCAAAACGCAGATCAGCTGCCCCAGCTACAAAGGTACAGACTGAAAAACAAGCACCTCCTTCTTCTACTGAATCTTCAAGTGAAAAAGAAGCAGACACAAAAGAAAAGGTGAAACCCTCACAACCACCTCCAGTGGCTACCCCTGCTTCTTCTGCTTCCTCCGTAAATGCACAAAAAATGACCACAGCTGAAGCCCACGCTCAAATCACCAAAGCTTCAAGTCTAAGCAAAACTCAAATGATGCAGATTGATCAAGTGCCTTCCTCGGACAATCAAAGTGCAAAACCTCTTGTTGATACAGTCATGGAGGATAGTCTAACTGCAAAACCTGTTGATACAGTCATGGAGGAAGCAGTTCGGGTAACACGTGCCAGATCAAGGAGGACACGACCTGCACCCAATCCTTGACTTGGTGGGGAAAAGGATACATTCTAGGATGCTGAGTTCAATGTATATGTCATGTCTTCTTTCATTCATTATCTGAAGTTGTCCATGATATTTTTAAGCATGGATTGAGAAATGATGGGTTGATCATGAGCCAATGAAACTCTGAACTTCTTAGAGAGTTTCTGTAAAAGCAGATAGCCAGATACATATATCGTGCCTTCCTTGGGATGAACTGTAAAAGATTTCAATGATAACCTGAAGTAAAACTAGTTCTGAATGCTCTACTATTTTGCTTCTTTTTCTCAAGGATTTTGCTGTATGTAAAAGTTGTTTTTTCCTTGCTTCAATTGGGTTAAATGGCTTGTGCTGGACTAAGATATTTTACATGAAAAATATTTTACTTTATACGAAGCCTTCACTATGCAGATGGAGATTTATACCTCAAATTTTAAGGGTGGCATGACTCATAAAGCTTTTTGAGAAAAAACTTTTGGGTGCTCCGGGCGTCAGATTCATGGGTTTAACATACGAAAAATCGAGAAATTTGAGCGATTTTTAAAAAGGATTTGTAAATGCGGAAATAGGCGTGAAAAAATGATGTGAGTAAACGTGAAGATTACCCAACTCTTTACGCAGGTTCTCAAAAAAAATTTTGAGAAATTTTTTTGGAAGCTTCGGGCACCAGATCCATAGGCTAATACACACAAAAAATTAAGGAAATTAGGCGATTCCAAAAAAAGAGCTTGTAAATGCGGAAATGAGCATTAAAAAAACGGTGTGAGTATACGTGAAGATCCCCAACTCATTACGGAGTTCCTCATAAATTTTTTTGGATGCTCCAAGCGTCAGATCAATGGGCTAATACATACGAAAAATTAGAGAATTTGGGCGATTCTTTAAAAAGGGCTTGTAAATGCGGTGAAAAAAATTGTGTGAGTATACGTGAAGGTTCCCCAACTAATTACGGAGGTTCTTATAAAGTTTTTTGAGGAAAAAATTTTGGGTGCTCCGGGCGACAGATCCATGAGCTAATACACGAAAAATCAGGCAATTTGGGCGATTCCTGAAAAAGAGCTTGTAAAGGCGGAAATGGGAGTGAAAAAAATGGAGTGAGTATACGTCAAGGTTCCCCAACTCATTACGGAGGTCCTCATAAAGTTTTTTGAGAAAAAAATTTGGGTGCTCCGGGCGCCAGATCGATGGGCTAATACACACGAAAAATTAGAGAATTTGGGCGATTCTTAAAAAAAGGATTGTAAATGCGAAAATGGGCGTGAAAAAAATGGTGTGAGTATACGTGAAGGTTCCCCAACTAATTACGGAAGTCCTCATAAAGTTTTTTGAGGAAAAAAGTTTGGATGCTCCGGGCGCCAGATCCATGGTGCTAGTCCTAAAAATGAGCTTGTAAATGCGGAAATTGGAGTGAAAAAATGGTGAGAGTGTACGTGAAGGTTCTCAAACTCAATACGGAGGTCCTCATAAAGTTTTTTGAGAAAAAAAATTTGGGTGCTCCGGCGCCATATCCATGGGCTAATACACACGAAAAATTGGGAAATTCGGATGATTTTTAAAGAAAGGTTTGTAAATGCGGGAATAGGAGCGAAAAAAATTGTGTAAGTATACGTGAAGGTTCCCAAACTCATTACGGAAGCCCATATAAGTTTTTTGAAAAAATAATTTGGATGCTCCGGGCGCCAGATCAATGGGATAATACACACGAAAAATCAGAGAATTTGGGTGATTCCTAAAAAAGGGTTTGTAAATGCGGAAATGGACGTGAAAAAATTGTGAGAGTATACGTGAAGATTCCCCAACTCAATATGGATGTCCTCATAAAGTTTTTTTAGGAAAATTTTTTGGGTGCTCCGGGCGCCAAATCCATGGGCTAATACACACGAAAAATTGAGGAATTAGGCGATTCTTAAAAAGAGGCTTCTAAGAGTGGAAAAGTGCGTGAAAAAAATGATATGAATATACGTGAAGGTTCCCCAACTCATTACGGAGGTTCTCATAAAGGTTTTTGAGAAAAAAAATTATGGATGCTCCGGACTCAAGATTCATGGGTTAATACACACAAAAAATCAGAAAATTTAGGTGATTCCTAAAAAAGAGCTTGTAAATGCGGAAATGGGCGCTAAAGAAATATTGTGAGCATACGTGAAGGTTCCCCAACTCATTATGGAGGTCCTCATACAGTTTTTTAAGAAAAAAATATTCGATTCTTTGGGCGCCAGATCAATGGGCTAATACACACGAAAAATTAGGAATTTGATTGATTCTTAAAAATGGCTTGTAAATATGAAAATGTGCGTGAAAAAAATGGTGTGAGTATACGTGAATGTTACCCAACTCACTACGGAAGTCCTCATAAAGTTTTTTGAGAAATTTTTTTGGATGCTCCGGACGCCAGATCCATGGGAAAATACACACGAAAAATTGGACAATTTGGGCGATTCTTAAATAAATGGTGAAAATATACGTGAAGGTTCCCCAACTTATTACGGAGGTCCTCATAAAGTTTTTTGAGAAAAAAAATTGGATGCTTTGGGTGCCAGATCCATGGGCTAATACACACAAAAAATCGTGAAATTCGGGTGATTCCTATAAAAGGGCTTGTAAATGCGTAAATGTGCAAATGTGCGCTAAAAAAATATTGTCAGTATACGTGAAGGTTCCCCAACTTATTACGGAGGTCCTCATAATATTTTTTGAGAATAAATTTTAGGTGCTTCGGACGCCAGATCCATAGGCTAATACATATAAAAAATCGAGGAATTTGGGCGATTCTTTAAAAATGTCTTAAAAATGCGGTAATGGGGGTTGAAAATGGTGTGAATATATGTGAAGGTTCCCAATCTCGTTACAGAGGTCCTCATAAAGTTTTTTGAGAATTTATTTTTGGATTCTACTGGCGCCAGATCAATAGGCATTATACACGAAAAATCAGGGAATTTGAGGGATTCTTAAAAAAGGGATTGTAAATGCGAAAATAGACGTGAAAAAAATGGTGTGAGTATACATGAAGGTTCCCCAAATCATTACGGAGGTCCTCATAAAGTTTTTTGAGAAAATTATTTTGGATGCTCCAAGCACCAGATCCATAGGCTAATAGACACGAAAAGTCGGGGAATTAGGGTGATTCCTTAAAAGGGGATTGTAAATGCGGAAATGAACTTTAAAAAGACGGCGTGATTATACGTAAAGATTCATCAACTCATTAGATAGGACTTCATAAAGATTTTTGAGAATAAATTTTTGGGTGCTCCGGGCGCTAGATCCATGTATTAATACACAAAAAATCAAGGAATTTAGCGATTCTTAAAAAAGGGCTTCTAAGAGAGAAAAGGTGCGTGAAAAAAATGGTTTGAATATACGTGAAGGTTCTCCAACTCATTACGGAGGTCCTCATAAAGTTTTTTGAGAAAAAAAAATTGGTGCTCCATGCGCCAGATTCATGGGCTAATACACACGAAAAATCGGAGAATTTGGGAAATTTTTTAAAATTGGCTTATAAATGCGAAAATGGGCATGAAAAAAATAGTATGAATATACGTGAAGGTTCCCCAACTAATTATAGAGGTCCTCATAAAAAAAATGTATAAAAAAATTTTGGATGCTCGGGGCGCCAGACCTATTGGATAATACACACAAAAAAATCAGGGAATTAGGGCGAGTCCTAAAAAGGGGCTTGTAAATGCGAAAATGGGCGTCAAACAATTGGTGTGAGTATACGTGAAGGTTTCCTAACTCATTTCGGAGGTCCTCATCAAGTTTTTTGAGAAAAAGAATTTTAGGTGCTCCGGCGCCGGATCTATAGGTAATACACATGAAAAATTGGAGAATTTGGGTGATTATGAAAAAAAGGTCTTGTAAATGTGAAAATGGGCGTGAAATAATTGGTGTAAGAATACGTGAAGGTTCCCTAACTCATTACTGAGGTCCTCATAAAGTTTTTTGAGATTTTTTTTTTTGAATGCTCCGAGCGCCAGAGCCATGTGCTAATACACACGAAAAATCGTACAATTTGAGTGATGCCTGAAAAAAGGCTTGTAAATGCGGAAGTGGATGTTAATAAAATGGTGTGAGTATACGTAAAGGTTCCCCAACTCATTACGGAGGACCTCATAAAGTTTTTTGAGATGAAATTTTTGGGTGGTCCGAGCGTCAGATCCATTGGCTAATACACTTGAAAAATCAGGAAATTTGGGCGATTCTTAAAATGGGCTTGTAAATGCGGAAATGGACATGAAAAAAATGGTGAGATTATATATGAAGGTTCCTCAACTCATTACGTAGGTCCTCATAAATTTTTTTGAGAATTTTGTTTTGAATGATCCAGGCGCTAGATTCATGGGCTAATACACACGAAAAATTGGGAAATTTGGGCGATTCCTGAAAAAGGCTAGTAAATATGAAAATAGGCATTAAAAAAATGGTGTAACTATACATGAAGGTTCCCTAACTCATTACGGAGGTCCTCATAAAGTTTTTTAAGAAATAATTTGTGGTATTTCATGCTCCAGATCAATGGGCTTATACACATGAAAAATCGTTGAATTTGGGTTATTCCTAAAAATAGGCTTGTAAATGCGGAAAATAAGTGTTAAAATAATGGTGTGAGTATACGTGAAGGTTCCCCAACTCATTAAAGAGGTTCTTATTTAAAAAAAATGATGTTCCGGGCAGCAGATCAATAGGCTAATACACATGAAAAATCAGGAAATTAGGGCGATTCCTAAAAAAGGGCTTGTAAAGGCGGAAATGGATGTTAAAAAAATTGTTTGAGTATACGTGAAGGTTCCCCAACTTATTACGGAGGTCTTCATAAAGTTTTTTTAGGTGCTCCGGGCGCCAGATCGGCTAATAAACACGAAAAATCAGGGAATTTTGGCGATTCTTTAATAAGTGATTGTAAATGCGGAAATGGACGTGTAAAAAGGGGTGTGAGTATACGTGAAGGTTCCCCAACTCATTACGTAGGTCCTCATGAAGTTTTTTGAGAAAAATATTTTGGATGCTCTAGGCGCCAGATCTATGAGCTAATACGCATGAAAATTTTGAAAATTTGGGCGATTTCTAAAAAAGGGTTTGTAAATACAGAAATCAACATTAAAAAAATAGTGTGAGTATATGTGAATGTCTCCCAACTCATAACGGAGGTTCTCATAAACTTTTTTGAACTTTTTTTTTGGGTGCTTCGAACACCAGATTCATGGGTTAATTAATACATACGAAAAATCGGTAAATTTGGATGATTCTTAAAAAAGGGCTTGTAAATGCCGAA